ATTGGTGAGACTTTTTATTGTCAATATGTAATCTTTTTTCCCCCAAAATACAGCATATTGCAAATCTTGCTGGAAACAAGAACCTAGTTTTGCCGGTGCCTGCATTCAATGTTATAAACGGAGGATCACATGCAGGAAATAAGCTGGCTATGCAGGTTGTCATCCTACCAGCTATCTGTACAGCTGTTGTCGAGCATGTAGTTATATGCTTATGTTGACTTGTTATGATAGGAATTCATGATTCTTCCAGTGGGGGCTGCCTCTTTCAAGGAAGCCATGAAGATGGGTGTGGAAGTTTATCACAATTTGAAGGTCAATTTTAGACTATTTTCCTACCTTCTAACTCTTTTCTCTAAGAACCTCATTTGACACTCTATCCTCTTGTTCTCAGGCTGTCATTAAGAAGAAGTACGGACAAGATGCCACTAATGTTGGAGATGAAGGCGGTTTTGCTCCCAACATCCAGGTCTGTTGTGCATGTTGATTCTTAAGAGACTATCTGTGCAATTTCACCATAAAATTTCACTCACTCTTTATTAACTTCAATATGTGAGCTAATTCATTCAATTAGAGTAGAGTCTAGATAGAAGTAGTCCCCTTGAGTTTATTATGTTTTTTCCTTTAATAATATTAGTGTACTATATTTTCGTTAGACCAGTAGAGGAAATCTGATGATAAGAGTTTGGATCAGACGTCAAACTATATTGCTGCCATTGCTTCTAGTGAGATCACATCAATTAGTACCAGAGTATATTTGGGATCCTAGGTGGAATGCTGCTTTGGATCTGTTCTACCAATAAATTTGCTTTTGGTGTTCAACCTGTTCTATTCTCTGGTTGTCTAGTGGTTTTAAATCAGGGTTACATTTAATAGATAGCTGTTAATGTTTTCCTGGTAAATTTAGGCTTAGCTAATAAAATCCATTCTCAGAAGAGTTAGATTTTATCATTTTAGGCTTTTCAGAAACTTCTTCCATTATCTTTCACCCTAACTCTGGAGTTGTTCTGGCTTATTAGATAGGAAGCCCTTGTAACATTGTGTCATGTCTAGGCTTACATATGGAAGCCCCTTGCAGCATACCCACTTTTAATCAAACTTGAATTTCCTTGTCAAATCATGTGCCGTTTGCTTTTAAACATTAAAAATGTTATTGCTAGTGGAAATATGATAAATTCCCATATATATTTATATATAATTTTCTAATTGCAGGAGAACAAGGAAGGCCTTGAACTTTTGAAGACAGCTATAGCTAAAGCTGGGTATACTGGCAAAGTATGCTTTTAATATGTGTATTTATTTATAGTTGTATATGATTTTCCTTATATGAGTTCACAGTCGTAAAATTCCAACTTTTGATTGTGCTTGGTTGTTTTTGCAGGTTGTAATTGGCATGGATGTTGCTGCTTCAGAATTCTATAGCGAAAAGGATAAAACTTATGATCTCAATTTCAAGGAGGAGGTGAGTTTATAAAAATTGACAAATGTAGGGAATGCGTTCCTGCTTTATTATTTTATATAGTTTTCTTAACATCAAATCCACTGACATGCAAGTATCTGTTATTGCAGAACAATGATGGTTCTCAAAAAATATCTGGAGACAGTCTGAAAAATGTCTACAAGTCGTTTGTCAGTGAGTACCCCATTGTATCAATTGAAGACCCATTTGATCAGGATGATTGGATCCACTATGCAAAGCTCACAGAAGAGATTGGAGAACAGGTGCAAATTGTTGGAGATGATCTTCTTGTCACTAATCCAACAGTAAGTTTTATTATGAAAAGCTGAAATTAATTGGATTCTCTTAGGAATTCTCCTATTAAGGTCTGGATTATTTTGTTCACTTCTGCAGCGTGTTGCCAAGGCAATAAAGGAGAAGGCATGCAATGCACTCCTTTTAAAGGTATTTGTTAAAATGATTTAATTTATTCTTGTTCCTTTTACAGATGGAGGATTCATTATGTAATGTGCTCGTAGATGAGTAAATATTCAAGTTATATGAACATAGTGGGAGTTGATTATGTGGTGGGCTTGTAGACAAGAGAAGAATCAAGTTCAATGAACACAGAGGTCGTATCTGATCAGATATGTCAGTTGGATTAGCCACTAAGAACCTGCAATCAGAATAACAAAGGATCTGATGATATGGAGATAGAAAAGTGTATGTCCTCATTATTTGGGGTTGGCCACATGAATCTTTTGTTGCCATTGGGATACGTAAAAAATCATATGTTTAATTAAGTTTAGAGAACTTAAATATTTATTTATAATTTTTATTAAAGTCTTTTTAGGTCTTCTTTTATCTCTCATCGTACCACTAACATCAATCATTTCACATCTTCTGACTATCACATTCTGAACTCCCCACATGCTCATATCATCTTAAACGATTTTATCTCATCTTATCTTCTATCAATATGATATCTAGTTGTTCACGAATAAAAATATTTTGTTTCTTATCTTTCCTACATGAATTTTTTTCCTAACAAAAATGTATACCCATTGTTAGGAAAAAAATTCATAGTTAATGGGAAGAACAGTAAGAAAATATAGTTGAAATTATCCACATTTTATCTGATAATAGAGAGAAATGATGTGAGGTACAATTGAAATTATGCGTAGAATTCATAGGCATAGTGCTAAGCTTGAATCCATACCAAAATGTTTAGTCTATCCTACATTGTTTTCTTTGCACATTTTAACTTGAAAATAGTATCTAGGTTTTTATCTTACTTTTTCTTCATATCGATGATTTATATGCCTACTTTTCTTTGGGGCATGTAAGATCAAGTGTCTGGATCTCTCTTCTAATCTTGTGAAACAATATGTTACTGTGGTTGTTTAGGTAAATCAAATAGGTTCTGTTACCGAGAGCATTGAAGCGGTTAAGATGTCTAAACATGCTGGCTGGGGAGTGATGGCCAGCCACCGGAGGTATGCCTTTAGCTCAAGCCTAAGTTATAATTAACACAGGTTGGTGATGTTAACTTGTCTCTTCTCTTGTTTTAGTGGTGAGACAGAAGATACTTTCATTGCTGACCTCTCAGTTGGTTTGGCGACGGTATGTTACTTCTAACCTTTATGATTTCCTTATGCTGTAAGTCTGAAAATTCATTCTCCTGCAATTGGGAATGTCTCTGATGTTAGAAACATCATGATGCATACACAGGGTCAGATCAAAACTGGAGCTCCGTGCCGTTCTGAACGTCTTGCCAAGTATAACCAAGTAAGCTATAACCCCAGTTGAAACAAAAATTTCTCGATGCGGAGTATGAGATAATCAATTCCTTCATCACTTGACACCCCTTAGTAGCTTGTGTTTGGGCATTACCATCCCTGGTGATTGATGCCTCGATGGATGCTACAATTAGTTTCATTATGATGTGGAAAATTTGTTTTATTCTTCTTGTTGCTTTCTGGTTACGTTTCATAGTAAGATAAATGTCGATTTCATGTGGTGAAATACAGTTACTGAGGATCGAGGAGGAGCTCGGTGCTGCAGCAGTCTATGCCGGAGCCAAGTTCCGAGCACCCGTGCAGCCTTACTAGAAGGGAGTTACACCCACAAAGTTTAACAGCTGCTCTTCTGCTGTTAATTACTGGTTCTACACTTTGCAGACGTACCTGCGAACTATCTTTTCTGTAGGGTTCGTGCATCAGGATATGAGCTTGTGATCATGGAAAGACTAATTTACTAGAAAATAAGCTCTTTTGCTTTGTCCTGCCAAAATATGCCGTGGGACATAAAACTTTTATCCAATCCCTGATCAAGAAAATTCCCAATTTGCTATCCGTTCCTTAAGAGGATGACATGTCATGTCCATCTTTAACTACCTGCTAATCTTGCCGTGTTCTTGACTCGAGGCAGCGACTTCGATATAACTAAATTTCCTGTTGAGCAAGTCAATGCAAACTTTTCGTGGGATTTGATTAGTCAAAACTTAGGTTTAATTCTGTGATGCATTCCAGACTCGGATAGGTGCTTTTCTTGACCAATGAAACGTGTAAAAATATTTTCGTGAAATAAGTGAGATAAGAATGTTTTATTCATACTGCTTCAAGCCAGCGTCATTAAAGTGTTCGAGCAAATGCCGCTTAGACGTGCTTCGATGGTGACGGCGACCTCTCCGCATGTATAGCCTTCGCTGCAAGCTTCTCTCATGTCTACTTGTTGACTTTTTAGAATAGGAGGACAACGTGTTCATTTTCTTTTTCTTCCATTTCCTTGACCTTCTCACCTCTTCACGTGATCCAAAACCTATAGAGACCAGAGGGTCTCTAGAAATTTGGTCTTTGATTCTGTTATGAAGAACCTCTCATCTCTCTCCATCCAGTTTCACATCGAAACCGTTGCGATAGTTCCGTTCAATAATATGTTTCGACAGCGACTGCACCAAAACTTCAACTTGGGAGTGGCAGGGACGATCTTCCATGAAATGCTCGCCACAAGTGCCGTGCCAACCCACGTTAGGTTGGCCAAAGAGTTCTTATCTTCTGCGTGAAGCAAGCGAGCAAGCAGCGGAGAAATAACACATCCAAACAAGCAGGAAGGCAGTCCAAGTTTGAGAATGGGGAGGAGTGTGTTACTTGTGGGTAATTAGCAGACGAAAGAAACTTGCAAACAACCAGTGATAAGATGGCCAAGTTCGACAAGGGATGAAGTAGCAGGGAGAAAACAACACAACCAAACAAATCTGGCATCAGCTGCCGTGGTGCCCATTCCAATGTACAAATCTTATCCGTCACATCCCCCCCCTTGCTGTTTCTGATGTAGCAGAACACGTCCTCTCTCGCACAATGACGTTCGGCGCGAGCATTAGAGCACCAGAGCGTGAAGTGATTCATGGCGTGCATGAATCATCGATGTGCGAAGCGTCGAACATGTGGAAACGAATGGCACGATAAATAGATGAATCTGATTAGTCAACAATTCAACGAGTTTGACCATGCTTGTGTCTATATACTGCCCAGGGTTTGCTCACCACCCCCACCATGCATGCACACAAGCCTCCACCAATTTCATCTTCCTCTTGCTCTCTTTCTTCTATCTTTGGTTGCTGCTACCATGCTGCCGTTTGCGAGCACTGGGGACGCGGAGGTGGCCATGGGGAGGGACCTGACGGCGGTGGAGACGGCGTGGTTCCGATACTCGACCGGCATGTCCGACTTTTGGCTCTACGCCCACAACGTCGTCTTCCTCCTTCTGGTGTACACCCTCGCGCCGCTCCCCTTCGTCATGGCGGAGCTCAAGCGCCCCAAGGCCATCCAAAAGTACAAGCTCCAGCCCAATGTCCACTTCCCTGTGGCCACCTTCGTCAAGTGCTACAAGAACGTCGTCAAGACTTTCATCGTCGCCGTCGGCCCTCTGCAGCTCCTCTCCTATCCTACAATCAAGGTAAAGTTGATGTTTGATTCGATAGGATATATTTGAGTCAAGAGAATAATCTCACATCGATAAATAATAGAGTTGGATAATAATTTAACTTTTTCGATTAAAATGATATTTAATTTTGATCATCCATTAAGTTGCATGAGTTAATTGTTTTTTTCATGCTTACTGTAATCAAGAACAAAAGATTAAAATATGGATAAATTTATCCAAGAATTTAGTTTAGATATGTACTGTGTTAATGGAATGATCGTTCGCAGTGGGTGGGCATTCGGACGGGCCTGCCGCTGCCGTCCGTGTGGGAGGTGGTGGCTCAGCTGGCCGTGTACTTCCTGGTGGAGGACTACTTTAGCTACTGGCTCCACCGGGCGCTGCACTGCCGGTGGGGCTACCAGCACATCCACCGCATCCACCACGAGTTCTCGGCGCCCATGGCCTTCGCCGCTCCCTACGCCCACTGGGCTGAGGTGCTCATCCTCGGCTTCCCTGCCTTCCTCGGTCCCGCCCTCGTTCCCTGTCACATCCTCACGCTCTGGCTCTGGTTCGTTCTCCGCCACGTCGAAGCCATCGAGACGCACTGCGGGTACGCCGTCTTCTTCTTCGATGCCCTCCTCTCGTTTCGTTCTTGCGCGCATCCCCCTAACACGTTGGTGCATGTGGCAGCTATGACTTCCCTCAAACTCCCACCAAGTACATTCCATTCTACGTAGGTGCCGAGTACCATGATTACCATCACTATGTCGGAGAGAAAAGTCACAGTAACTTTGCGTCAGTGTTCACCTACTGCGACTACATATACGGAACTGACAAGGTTTAATCGCTGGCCCCATGTAGCCATACAACTCGACCTGCCAACTTCATATACTGATCGATACCATTCTCTTTAACTTCTGCAGGGATTCAGATATCAGAAAACACAACTTGCAAAGGTATTCTACATCTTCTTTTACCCACATATTTATACGTCCTTACATATCACAGCTAAAAGATCAACAGAAAACACAGTGTATTAACTTAGTTCAAATCAGGTGGGCATAAGTCCAGTAGAGGTTTGTGAAGCAACAGAGGATATAATCTTGACATTTTGGTCAACTGATACATGAGTTCATTTCCCTCCTTTTAACTCGATCTCATGCCAACTTGTGCAGCTGAAGGCTTAGGGCGAAGCAAACGTGCAAAATGAGGAAATGAATGGCATGTGGGAGAAGTATGACTAATGACAACCTTAACTGTGTTTGTAGTACTTGGCTTTGTTCATCAAGGGAGCCGTTGCATTCAGTATTATATTGGACGATTAAATTATCTTCCTGGTGATGTTTATGGCTGTGTTTGAAATGAGAAAGCAACATTCATGGTTTAAAATTATTATTATACTTACGTGATGGCGAGAAGAAAACAGAAGCACCGACAACTCAGAATTTACATCATAATATTTAAGATGATACTTGTTATATTCAATCGAATAGAATGAAGCCAATGTAATTTTGTTAGAAAGTTTGATACCAAAATGTATTTCTAAATCATTATAATAGAAATACAAGAAAACTAATGCGAAAACGAAATAGCGTACATCCAGCCATTGTTGTCAAGAATTTCAACAACGGTTTTTTCTTGAACTTTGGTATTTCTGGGCTCAAAAGTCTTGCTTTAGTTGGTGTAGAAAATCCTTTAGACTTCAAAGTGATGTTGAGTCTAGGGACCAAAATCATCGTTTATATAGATGTTCTCTTATCAAGAATATTTATTATCACCAACTCATAATATTTAAGAATTAATTTAAATTTGTAACGTTTGAATCATAATAAAGAATTTTAATGGTATTAAATATTTAATAATAATAGTTATATTTAGAATAAAAAATCAAAATATTTAAAACATAATAAAGGAAGATATTGATTTATTAAATAACTTGGTCTATACGTTTAGCTTACATTCTCTCACTTGGTCTATACGTTTAGCTTAATAATTTAAATTAATATTTATTAAATATTTTTTTAAGAAATAAATACATGAATCATAACGATAAGTCCTCTAAGAGTGAGTATTATTATCCATGTATCACGATGTATATAGTTTTTTAATCTTATTGTTGTAATATTACTTAATAAAAAAATCTTATGTTTATTATTAGTCCAGTAACAATATATTTTCTTAAACTAATATGCAAGAAAATATCACAATATATAAGAATTTCAACATCATTATAAAATGGAACCAAGTCTCATTTTCTCTACATAATCCTTGAATTTTAAAGGTTGCGTGCCTTAATCAAAGGATCAGTAATCATCAATTCAGTACTAATATGCTCAATGATCACTTTCATTTCTTTTACACATTCTCTTATGGCTAAATACTTAATGCCGATGTGTTTACTTCGACTTCGACTTTTATTAATTTTAGCCATAAAGATAGCAGATGAATTATCGTAGAAAATTCTTAATGACCTAGAAATAGAATCAATGATTCAAAGCCCAGAAATAAAACTCTTAAGCCATACACCATCAAATGAAACTCTTAAGTCATACACTATGTGAAGTAGTCTCAAAACAATAGACAAACTTAGCTTTCATGGTAGAAGTAGAAGTCAAGGTCTGCATAGAGTTTATCCAAGAAATAACTCCACTGGCCATTATAAAAATATATCATGACGTTGACTTACGAGAATCAACACAATTGGCGAAGTCTGAATCTGAGTAATCAATCACATCCAGATTGTCTGTATGTCTATACATAAGCATATAATATTTGGTTCCTTGTAGATACCTCATCACTTTCTTTATAGCTCTCTAGTGGTCCATACCTAGATTACTCTAATATCGACCTAGCATTCTCACAACAAATGTAATATCAGGTCTAGTACAGACTTGAGCATACATAAGTCTTCCTACGACAGAAGCATATGAGATGTTTTTCATTGATTCTCTTTTAAGGTTGTTCTTTGGGCATTGGTTCAAATTGAACCTATCACCTTTCACAACGGGAGCGATACTTTGTGAACAATCATTCATCCAGATATAGGTTTCTTATGATAGACCTAAAATGCATCGAGATCTATCTCTATATATCTTAATGCCAATGACATAAGATACTTCACCCATATCCTTCATATCAAAATTTTTAGAAAGAAATTGTTTCACCTAATACAACAAACCCTTATCGTTTATTGCAAGCAAAATATCATATATGTATAAAATAAGGAAATATATTTTACTTCCACTGGCCTTTTGGTATATGCATTGATCAATAGGATTTTTAACAAATCCGAATGAATAAATCACTTCATAGAATTTAAAATATCATTGGCAGGAAGCTTGCTAATAGCCTTTGCTTCATTAGGTAATTCTACAAGATCCCAGACTTTATTGCTCATCATTGAATTCATCTCTTCTTTCATGGCATCATGCCATAAATTTGATTCATTGCAACTCATGGCTTATGAAAAATTTTCAGAATCATTTTTGGCTCTAATATTATAGTCAGATTTTTATAGATATATAATATAATCACTAGGAATTACTGATATTTTATTTCTAGTAGATCTTCTTAATGTTGTACTATTGTTTCCATGAGGAACCTATGGTTCAACTAGTTGTTCAGAAACTTGTTGTAATTTCTGAACTACTTAATCTATTATAATACTATCAGCAACTTGTAGAATTTCAATGATTAATTGTTCGACCAGTTTGTACTTGAGGAGTGCTATGAACTATAACTAATCTATCATTTAATCTATCATTTAATGTGGAAGATTAAGATTCTATATGATCATATATAGAAACTGTGTTCCTGATCGCTACCACTAATCACGTCATCCTCAAGAAATTTGGCATTTCTTGATTTTATAATCAGTTGTGTAAGATGGATAATAGAACCTATAACCTTTGAATTTTTCAGCATATAATGAAATATCCACTAATAGTCTTCGGGTCTAGTTTCTTCTTTTGTGGATTATATATCCTGACTTTAGACAAACATCCCCAAACGTGCATATGTCGCAAACTTGGTTTCCAACATTTCCATAATTCAAATGGTGTCTTTTGGACAACCTTGGTTGGAACTCGTTTTAATATATACACAACTATCTTTAGTGCTTTAGTCCACAAGAATTTAGGAAGATTGGAGTTACTAAGTATACTCTGTACCATGTCTAATAATGTTCGGTTTCTTCTTTGTACAACACCATTATGATATGAAGAACCAAGCATAGTGTATTGGGTAACAATCCCATGTTCTTGAAGAAACTTTGTAAAAGAACCAGGTGCTTGTCCATTTTCAATATATCTACCATAACATAGAGGAGTCATCATTAATATTACACCTTTTAGTACCAACGTGAATATGCATTGAACTTTGAGTATATCATTTTGTAAGAAAATACTATAAAAACTATCAGACAAAATACCTTTTCAAACACTATCAAATTTATATAATAAACGAAATGATGTGTATTTAAAATTAAAGAAATACCTAAGGTACGGAAACAGAAATTAAGTTTCATGAGAAACTTGTACATAAAACGTCATTTCCAATTTTAAAATAAAATCACTACTTAAAGTAAAAAATGTATGTTCCAATTGTCTCGAAATATGAGCCCATCTTATTTCCTGATAAAAGACTTTGTTCACTTCCCACTGACTTCCTTAAGTTTTGTATACCCTACAAAGAGTATACAATATGAATTGTTGATCTAGGGTCAATCCACCATGTGTTAATATAACATTAACCATATTAGATTCATAACACACAAATGCGATTGGTTTACCTTTCTTTTCAAGTCATTGTTGTCAAGAATTTCAGCAACGGTTTCTTCTTGAACTTTGACACTTCTCGACTCAAAACTCTCGCTTCAGATGGTGTAGGAAATCATTTAGACTTCAAAGAGATGTTGACACCAGAGACCAAAATCCTCATTCATATAGATGTTCTCCCATCAAACATTTATTATCACAAACTCATAACATACAAGAATTTAATGATATTAAATATTTAATAATATTATTATATTTAGAATAAAAATTAAAATATTTAAAAACATAATAAATGAAGAAATTGATTATAATGAACGATGAACTTAACTAGAACTGTTATATTATTAAATAAAATATTTAATAATAACGGTTATAAACTTCTCTTGCTCAATAAAATGATAATTTATTTGTTTAGAGCCAACCAACGCAAGGAATGGAAGGAAATAGAAAGGGTGATTGTGCTTCACGAAGAACAACCAACAGCCTTGGAAGACTCAGTCTACTTCTAGGCCTGCGCCGAATCAACAGGGACGAGCATCCTACGCTCTACTTGTGATTTCGATCTTTCTGAACATGCTTTATAATCGTGGTTGCTTGCTCTGTCTTCCATCAGAATGTATATCTCGCATGCAGATATCTATGGAAAGAGATTTCAGAGAAATCAAAGTTAGTGAAGTGCAAAGAATTCGCTGGAATTTCGAAGATTTTAACTATGAAGTAGCAATGGTATTGAATTAACCTGAGAATCATCTTTCGATCGATCAAACTTGCGACTGAGTCTATACTCGTTCATCCTCCAACCTGTTCTTGCGGAACGACAATGCGCTTTTGTGCTGTAGAACACAAACGATCTCTTGTAACCAATGACACGATCATCATCATCATCATCTTGCACAGGGCGATCAGGCCTTTGGAGCTTCCAAAGGCCATGCGGTGTACTCCTGACATTGTCATAGCCATCCTCGTCTGGCGTCGCCGTAGACACGAAGAAATACGCCCATCGACTGTGTCCGTCAGAGATATCAACTGCAAACATTGCGAAGAACAACACGCTTAGTTCACCTCTGAGATTCCCAAAAGAAACCATGTTAGATGAGAGCAGAAGCGTACGCACTGGGGAGCTGATCCGGATCATGGCGATAGACGTCCATCTCCTCGAACCCTCCATCATACGGGAGGGCTTGGCCTGACACCTTGTTGAGCAGGTAATACTTGAGAATCTCGATCCCGGTCGGCCGGAACCGAAACCCGGCCGGGAACTCGTACGAGGGCAACGGAGATTGAGGCTCGGACGAGGCCATGTGTGTGGCCGTCTTCTATATGTGTGAGAAGGGAGGGATGGCTTTTATAGAAACGCCACGCGGGTCCTCTCCCAGTCGTGTGTAACTTTACGCCAAGGTTGACGACTTGGGCTGTTACAGAGGATATGGTAGTGTCGTGAAAGCAGCATGATTCTGTTAAGCCACCCATGGCGGCGTGCACCACGTGGACGTTGGCGGGGAGTTGCATGAGATCCTCTCCTTCCCGTGCGCCGTTCGTTTCTATGGAGACGCT